TAATATTTTATTTATTATTAAATTAAAGTATAATAGAATAATTAAAATAGTATAAAAAGTTAATTTAGATTATTTTTATTTAATATAAAAAAATTATAAAGATTGATTAAAATTTATTAGAAGTAATTATTAATTTTTATATTGAGATACAAATTTTTTTGTACTGATCCATAATTTTTTATTTAAGTTTTTTATTTATCATATATAAATAATTAGATTTACTAATATTAATAAGAACATATTTTTCTTATCATCTTTATTTAATATGAATAATCATAAAATATTAATATTTTATCTTTATATTATTTTTTTAGTTATTTTTTATTCTAATATAATATAATACTTTATCTTTTTATGTATTTTAAGAAGTTGTGAAAAAACAGATTAATAAAAAATATCTATTTAATTATATTTATATTAGTTTTAAATATATAATATTACTTAACTTAGTATAAAAAATATTAAAAATAATATTTTATGAAACTTATCTATATATTTTATAAATAATAATTAAAAAAAATATAATCATATTTAATTAACTATTAAATTATCATAATTAGTAATTTAATTTATTATTTGAAATAACTAAATTTAAAAATTTTTATTAATGTGTTATATTATTTATAATTGCCATTATATATTATTTTATTATGCTTATTCTTTCATCTTCAGATAAGATATTCTGATCACGTGAATACAGATTATTTTCCTTTTATAGAATTTTGACATAAGATTTTTCGTGATTCCAATTGAAATAATTTGATCTTCATCTTGCAATAAATAGTAGCTTATTTCCGGGCTTAGTATAATGAATATCTTAAGTTTCATTATCGAAGATAAGGAAAGCAAACTAAAATAGCAATTTTTCTTTACTATCAGTTCTTGTTAAAGACACTATGTATCGTTATGTTATTCATTATTTATGTCGAAAGTTGTATGTACATGATGAGTTAATAATGAATGCTACTTATAAATATACATATACATAAGTATTGTTACAAGGTTCAATTCAAACTAAATTATTATTAAAATTACAAGGATGTTGCGATGAATGAAATATTAAGAGAAAGAAAATAAAAGACAATAAATAAAACAAAGTCTTGAGATATTAGTCAAATGGCGCATCCCTATAAAAATCCAATAAAACGTTAATATATATATATATATATGCGTGTGTGTGTGCATTACATGAATGGTAATTAAATTTTTACTTACCATGGTCTTGGAACTAAAGCAACTGGCAAAACCCTAAATATTTAATATTGGTAATATATAAACAAAATGAATGATTAATTTTTTTCAATATCAAATTACGTAAATCTCATAAAACTCTAATTTTTTACCAAGTAGCAGCCAATACGACACCATGTCCGACATTTTGTGATTTAATTACAGTGAATTGTAATCCGACCCAAGCGGCAATAAAACCAAAATACGGATGAATCGCCGAGACATTACCAGCGACCACTTGCAATAACCCTAGGAATGAATTGCTAACATTTTGCGCTTGATCCAGACGTCCCATACAATCTTGCGGCACATAAATTTCATAACCCCACCAAAAAACATAGGCTGAAATATGATGAGTTGGAGGACGAAATATTTTCTTTACTATAGACTTTTCTGTCGATTTATTATCACCTTCTTTTGGTGTAATATCATTAGTAGCGGTAGTTGTGTCTGTAGATTTTTCTGTTTTAGAATTTTCCGAATTATTGTCTTTGTCTTTGCCATTAACTGCTGATAATTGAGGGGACGAAGAAGTGGAAACGGTAGCAGTAGTAATTTGAGTGGCATCAATTCCAACTGTTTGAGGTTCTGGCATTGCTTTAAGCACAGTAACTATTCCCTGAGCAGTCGTTTGTTTTTGTAGAGCCTTCACAGCACGTTTACGTTGTTGCGCATGAGCTGCATGGTCTGCACCCAATATAATGTCTTTAACAGAGTGAGCAAGAGATTCATGATATTCTCCCTCACTTTTCACTTTTTTCTCCTTGGAGCCTGGCCACCAATTCATTAAATTAGTTAGAGTTGGCGAAGAAGGAAGGCTGGGAGATTTGAGTGGTTTGGGAGTAGTCGTTGAATTAACATCTTTTTTGATTTCTATCACTGTAGATTTTCGGGAAAATGCAATTCCTCCTCTCATTTTTATTATGTGAAATATTACGAGACACTGAAAGAAAGAGTACGCTTTAAATAATGTGAAATTTTCGTTAGTTTAATAACGAAAAGGATTTATTCACACATTTTTAATATATAAATTTACGTTGATACACAGTTTTACCCCTTTGTGTAAAGGAAGGATCATTCCAATATAGAAAGATGGGGTAATAAATTTGCTAAGGGGGCAAAGTACAAAGAAGAATGCGTGGTTGTACAGGAATTCTTTTTAAAGAGAATCTATAATTAGTCATTTTAAAAAAGGTGATTTTACCAGTTGCTGTCAGTCATCAAGATTCTTTTCGTGTCAAATAACTTGTTAAATGAGGCCTCTAATTAAATGCGTCATTTTTCCCATCCGTTTATCAAATAAAAGACTTTTATTTCCGTTCGTTCAAAGATCAAATTTTGTGATTGAATTGAAAGTTTAAGATTCGATACTCTGACATAGAATCAGAATTATGTGGCATAACATCATAATCTCGTGGTTTTATTTTGGAAATCAAAAAATATATCTTGTTACGGTTATTTAAAAAGATGAAAATACTATGCCGGGTCCCTGTTAAGCCAAAATTTTCCCATGCTTGTTAGTGCTGGTGGAATGATCTACATTTTGAATTGGGATATATCCATTTGTGAACAGCATTAAAAAAACGTTTAATTAGCAAGCGGAATTCGCATTTAATGAAAATTTATCGTTACTTGTATTTTGACGAACAATCTATGATAATAATTTATCCAGAGTAAATTGATTCGTTATACATTGAATCCCAGAAGTTTAATCTGAAATCTTGATTTTGTGCTATTAAATAAACTTAATATAAGTAATATGATAATACAGCTTATATGTAATAAATATAAAAATAATTATATAGTTTATCTGACAAAACGCTGATTTCGTCAGATTGATGATGACCAAAAAGCCACCATTTGCTTAAGCTGTTTGATTTCAGCATTATTCATGTTGTTAAGATTACTATATGTAATTTGTTCAGTATGCAACAATAATTCATATTTCGTTGGAAATAATTCATATAACAGATTCGCTACCCGAAGTCTGGCATATTTGGTTTTTTTCTGTTCGGGATCTTTTGCAAAATAATCAGCTTGCTCTTCTATATCTAAGTTGAGTTGTTGGGCGATTATTTCACCCATTTTTGCTAGTATATATAATCTTTTGTGAGGACCATTGCGCTTTGGATTTGATTCTTCCAACATAGATAACAATTTCGATAATTGATCTTTATAAGATCCCTCTATCGAAATTCGTGGGAGTGCTCTATTTCGACATTTGTCTGCCGCTTGCTTGAATTTTTGATCAAATTCCTTGACTTTACTTGAAATTTCCAAGGGTTGATTTGTATGATTTGTAATTTCCAAGGGGTGATTTGAAATTTCCAAGGGGTGATTTGAAATTTCCAAGGGGTGATTTGTAATTTCCAAGAGTTGATTTGTATTTTCCGGAAATGATGAATCAATACTCGGAGATGACAGTAATGATGTATCAACAACCGGAAATGACAGCAATGATGTATCAACATCCGGAGATGATGAATCAATCTCCGGAAGGGAATTCGTCGGTTCCGAGGAGTACTCAAAATCCATATCGATAGGTTCATAATGTAAATCATATGATGGAAGTTGGCTACATCCAAGATGCATTCGGTATTCCACGTATTCATCATCAAATATAATTTGCTCACAAATTGCACAACTCGCATAAGTTGGCACAACAGTAACGTGACCATGATCGATGGTTATCTTGAGACGTGGACATTCTTCTTTTACACGATCCGATAATAGATCCAATAATACTTGGATAGAAATAGGTATCTCATCACCTGATATTGATAGCATTTTGTGATAAATGCGAAGATATTATTGTGTGAGCAAAAATATAAATGATGTAATTTAGGTCGAAACTTATTTATACGAATAATTATAATTTTTAAGAATTTTTCATCGTTTGGGACGTCAATTTATATCTCTCAACAAATTGATTTATCGTAACGTAATAACTCATTACGTAAAATCCACAATACTGCGCAAAATGAACCATATGTATAGTAATACAGTTTAGTATTAGTTCCGTTACACTTCCCATCAACTTTCCAACAAATTAATTCACGTGTAAAGTGCCCTTTAATATTAAATGAATTTCGGATTTATTGAATATAAATATGATACAGTTTTATAAGATAAATATAAATAATATGTTAATACAGTTCATGTATAAATAGGTATGATACAGTTTAACAAAATTACCACAACCAAACAGCAACCATTTGCCGCAGCTGTATGATCTCAACATTATTTAATTCTTGAAGCCTACTATATGAAATTTGTTCAGTATGCCGCAATAATTCATATTGCGTTGGAAATAATTCAAATAACAGCTTCGCTACCCGAAGCCTATTTTGTTTGGTTTTTTTTCGTTCGGGATCTTGTACCAAATAATTAGCATGCTCTTCTAATTCGGGTTGTTGGGCGATTAGTTCACCCATTTTTGCTAGTAAGTATAATCTTGTGTGGGATTGATTGCGTCTTGGTGCAGATTCTTCTAACATAGCTACCAATCTCGATAATTGATCTCTAGGAGATCCATTAATCAAAATCGGACGGAGAGCTCTATTTCTTCGAAATTTGATTGCCGCTTGCCAGAATTTATGATTGAATTCCCTGACTTTATTGTGATTCGCCATTTCCAAGGGGTGATTTGTAATTTCCAAGGGGTGATTTGTAATTTCCAAGGGGTGATTTGTAATTTCCAAGGGGTG